CCAAAATAGATGACCTAACTTTATACTAACTTTTATTAAAGTTAGTATAAAGTTAGGTCATCTATTTTGGAACGGAGGAAGTAGATGGTAGTCCCTCCGTTTACAAATAGAAGATGTCTTGAATATTTTAATATAAACTAGTACTATATACATGCTGAAATGAGTGAACAAACACACTAAAACATATCTATATACATTCGTCTTAAAATAAGTTACAGTTCATAAATACTATAAAATGTTTTGCACATTTGAATATAAACTATATACTAACTGAAATGAGCGAACAAACACACTAAAACATGTCTATGTCCAAATTTGACAAATACCCCTTGTATTTTAGAGGAGTGAATATAGTATGCACGGTGGACCGTACTATCCCGCGTCGAGTGGGAGAAAGCGTCGTCCCAGCTTGTCAAGACAGCCCTGTCTCCAAAAAAAAAGCAAGAAAAGAAGAGCTAGCACGGGCCACGCACTGTTCGTGTCAGACATGTTACAACGATTTTTTATTGTTTTTTATCTGGAACCGAACGACTTCTTTCTTTATCACCAGCTCTCCCAGGCACACATGGGCGCTCTGGTCAGTCTGGCTCGTACCCAACCATGTGCACATCTTTTCAAAAAAAAAAAGCCCATGTGCACATCAACTTGAATTAAAGGCGCGCAGGTTTCGCCGAAATTACAGGCACAAATTCCTGTATGTCCATATTGGCCCGCGGCCCGCGTCTTCGCCCTCGGTCGTTGTTTTTTTATTTTTCTTCTGGCCAGCCGCAGGGCCCTCTGCAGACGCGCAAATGACCGTTGACCGAGGTCAGTCGCCGGTCGCCCGCGTGCCAGTCAGTCAACGAAGTTATCGCCAGGCCTCGCAACTGAACTCCGTGGGGCCGCTGAGGAGTTAAATGCGCAGGACCATTCGTGTCACGATCAGGAAAAATCCATCACTTTACAAATCGTGTCATTTTATATCACATCAAGAAATTGACAGTGACAAAAATAATGATGATATAGATGCTAAAAGTTTGGATGACATAATCATCCCACACGTCAGGCTGAGTTGGCAGAAAACTAAATTCACGTATGCAAAAAAAGGGTCACGTCTTCTATTTTCTCCTCCTCTTTCTCTAAGGCATTTTATCAACACCTCGTGTGGACATAAGGAAAGCCACGTGAGATGCACCTCACCCTTCGCGCGGCCGCCACCGACCGGCCAACAACTAGATGGCGAGCCGCCGCCGCTTCCCCGGTGCCCTTCCTCTCCTCTCCTGTGCCCAAGGCAAGGTGCCCTTCCTCTCCTCCCTTTTTGCCGCGAGTCACACATCACGACGCAGCTTCTCCCCACCCCGACCAAGACGAGCAAGGGGGTTGCAATGCCCGGCAGTAATGTTGGAAATATGAGCAAGTTACTATGAGATTTAATTCGAATAATTAAAAGATAAAACATAACTACATTAGCAAAGATTAAACTAATCATGCGAACTAGCATAGCAGATGAACAGATCACATCTAGGGCACATACTAGAAACATGAATTCTACCACGATCTCGAATAGGAAGGATAGAATCACATACGGTGCAGCGGGAGCAGCACCGCCGGCGTTAACGTTGTCGTCCATGTCGTCGAGGGCGGGGAAGAAGTCGTCGTTCGCGAAGTCGTCGCTGCCAGCAGTCGCGCGAGTGCGCTCCCCAAAAACCTGATCGCCCCTCTCCCGTACAGGATCACGAGAGGCGGGGTTCCGGAGGCCTGTTGTCCCTTCTCCCGGTGCACGCCGAAAAGAGGGGTGGAGAAGACTTACTTGGCGGCGCAATGATCTGGAACGGTGGTAAGAAACCATACGAAGCGGCGGCGGCTAGGGTAGACGTCCGCCTGACTATATAGTGCGGGTCGGGCAGGTCGTGGGAGAGTCGTCACGATCCAAAAGAATCGGAAACGGTTCAGTAATTAACGCGTCCGTTAATTATTAATTAATGACTCATTAATTTTTTCCGAGCAGCAAAGATATAGACAACGTGCATAGCTCTGTCCTCGGCTCGGCTCAATACCGCAACCCGCGGCGCGTCGTGACAAGGCGTGGCGAAGCGAGCGAGGAGGAAAGCGCGTGTAGGTCTCCTCTTCTCATGCTTATACAAGTGGTAGAAGAGCTCACCTTATAAAGAGGTGCAACTCTCTCTCAACTTCCGGGGTGGGACTAAACTTTAGCCTCACTCACTCCACTCACATGTATGCATGAATGGGCCAAGAGAATTTCCGAATTTTAGTTGGGCTTTGGGCCAAAGGCCTACTAGCAAAATTCCAACAATCCCCCATAAAGTCTCATTGGCACATCTCATCATTTAGTTCCAAAACATTGTTTATATACCAGTGCTTAGTGGAGACTGTGAAGTTGAACTTCCACTTAGAGATTTATGCTACACTAGATCACAACTTGAATAGTGGACTATGCCTTGAACTACAAGTTTTCTGCGAGACTAGTTTCACACAAATTTTTGACCGATATTGGGCTGCCGCAAGGCTTCCCCGCGGGTGAAGCGTATACATCGTACTCCAGGGCCTTTTCATGAATTTATTAGAGAACACTCAATTCTCACAGACTGCGACGTTAACAGTCAAATTCATATAGGTGTGTTCGGCTGTGCTCTTGCCATTTATACCTAACAAATGATACAAGTTCCCCAGTCGCATTCAATTTTTTTAAGTAAAGATGTCAGAGTTAAGTTATTCACAAGGAATACAAATCTGCATCTCAAACTCAAAGGTGCGGCATACAAGATTTTGTTCACTCACAGTAACACAACTTTTACAGAATTCATACAAACAATTGACCGAATGACACTCTCATTGAACAGGCATAATCAAACATGATCATAAGCACAAAACAAACTCACCTTCATCTATCTCTTTGAACCAGCAAAGACATCTAAGCAGCAGCCACCGCCACTGCCTGCCCCCGTACCACCAGCAACAAAATTAGCCCGCCAAATGAGACACCACAGCTTCAAAATGTTGGGGAAGGATGGTAAACAAGCAGAAACGTTGTGTACCTCTGTAGTTTGCGCACCAGCTGCCTCATGAGACCGTGACACCTCACCCTTTGCTTCCGGTTCCTGCACCACAACATCCGTGTCTGTATCCCTGACCAGCACCTCATCGGCCTTCGTCTCTGGTTGATGCGCGGGATGCACCATGGTTGTGTCCCGGACCACCACCTCCTCGCTCTTCACCTCTGGTTCCGGCACCTCAGGTGCTTCAGACACCACGACATCCTGCACCACGGCGTGCGCTTCTGCTCTCACATCCACCTTACCCTCTTGTTCCAGGTCAACAACTTCAGGCGGTAAAGCATCAACCATGATCTCCTCCCCGGCCTCGCCCGTGTTGCCGTCATCAACGCCTCCTCGATGGTGCGCTCGACCGGCACCTCCGACGTGCCCCCCTTCTTCTCCTCCTCGTCCCAGCATGGAGGCCTGCATCGTCGAAGCTCCAGATCAAGGTTTTGTGGAGGAACGCGTCCCGGCTCCAAGCGGCCGCGAGGGCCTCCAGCGCAGCGTCCAAGCGACCGGCGGCGGCGTGGGATAGGGCCAGCGTCCTGCGGCGGTCGAGGGTCACCAGCCTTACCAGCTCCGGAACCACCTCGTCTGCGTCCCTGGCCTCTGCGCTGACCTCAAGGAGCGGGGCGAGCTCGGGCTCTTCCGGCGATGCAGCGGAGGCCGCCATGTGGGCCTCGACCGCGTAGGTCTTGCCAGCCTCTCCGGTGCACCGGAACGCGGCAAGCACGGGGCTGTAGGACCGAAGGCGCGGCACGAGGTCGTACTTCTGCCGCATGGAGGAGACGAGCCTGAAGGCTTCGTAGGCGTCCTCGGCGTCTGCAGCGACGACGCAGGCGAGCGAGGTGATGGTGGCCTCGAACGGGGGCGCCCTGGCCTCCAGCATGCCGGCGAACACGTGGCGCGCGGCGGCGGTGGGGTGGACGGGGAAAACGGTGTCGTCCGCGGAGGCCAGCAGGTGGATGAGCTGGTTGTACTGGTGCACGGCAAGGCGGAGGTCGGGCGCTGTGTCCGGGCCGGAGACAGCCGAGTCGAAGGTTGCCATGGTGGCTGCGGCGGGTGCAGTCGGTGAGCGTGCGCCCCTTCCAGCCGGTGGATAAGATGAAGAAAGGAGTGCAAAATGCAAGGGTTAATTTGCAAAATTGAAACGTTTTTGCAGATCCACTTACGTAGGGACTGTGGGTTGAATATAGAAAACAGTAGGGGCTTTTTTGAAAAACTGGCGCGTTGGTGCCGCCGGACTCAATCCGTGCTTTATTATTATTAGGGAAAGATTTATTACCTTTTCTTTTTTTTGTTTTCTGTCTATTTTTCTTTTCTTAAATTCTTGAACTTTTTTCAAATTTAATTAACTTTTTCTCAAAATCCATGATCTTTTTTAACATTTTGGTGAACCTTTTTTAAAGTACGATGAAATTTTTGTAATTGGATAATTTATTTTCAAATCCGATGAACTTTAAAAAAATCGATGAACTGTTTTAAAAATTGATGAACATTTTTTCAAAATCGATGAACTTTTTCACAATTCGTTATTTTTTATTTGTGTACATTTTCCCAATTTCGTGAACTTTTAATCCACAAACATTTTTTATAAATCTATGATCTTTTTTTTATTTCACGAACATATTCAAAAATGTAAAAAACTAGAGACCGGTCTTC